GAATAATAACAATTTGGAAAGAAGAGCCAGTTCACTGTTTCGAAGATTTAGTGGGTAAGTTCTCAGTGTCTATAAGTTAAGGAACCTGCAGGATGGGTTTGAATGAGTTCTCGCAAATGTCTACGGGCCAAACTCTTATAGAGAAAGGAGTAAGATGTGGGAGGAGTTAGGGGACAATTAAGGGACTTTGGGAAGGGCTTTGGTGTATTGGGGGAGACTTCAATGTTATCAGATTTGTGGGTGAGTCAACTGGAGGTAGGCAAAGGATTACATCAAGCATGAGGAAGTTTAATTCATCTATTGAGGACTTTGAGTTGAGAGACTTTCAACTGGGACAATCTTGCTATACTTGGTCGTCAAACCTCCAAGAAAACCCCATTTTGTCCAAGCTTGACAGGTTTCTAGTTTCTCTAGAATGGAAGAACATTGGCTAGGTTTAACTGAGAAAACTCTACCTAGACAAAGATTGCAAAGGCATTCTCAAAGCATTTCAGGTCTATTTATAGAAGACCTCTAAATGAAAGGCGATTGGCTAAAGGCTTTGATTGGAAAACTTTGGGGGAGGCTCAAGCACAATTTTTGGAAAGAAGATTTGAAGAGGATGAGGTCAAGAAAGCAGTTTTCTCTATGAATAGATCAAAAGTTCCGGGGCCTGATGGATTTGCAATGGCATTCTATCAAGATTGCTAGGACATAATTGAAGGAGATCTTTTCAGAGTGTTTAGTGAATTCCATAAGAGAGGGGTAATCAGTCCGGGGATGAACTCCACTTTTTTAGCGTTGGTCCCAAAGAAGAACAATGCTAACCAACCTGGGGATTTTAGACCTACCAGCTTAGTCACCAGTATTTACAAGGTAATAGAAAAGGTGTTGTCTTTGAGGATTAAGAAAGTGATCCCCCCCCCACACAGACACACTTATTTCGCAGTTTCAAGGGGCTTTTGTGCAGGATTGGTAGATCATTGATCAAATTCTAATTGCCAATGAATGTGTAGAGGGTCAAAAAAGATTAAAGAGAAAGGGAGTGGCTATCAAATTGGATTTGGAGAAAGCCTATCATTTGGTGGATTGGAACTTCTTAATTGATATTATGAGGTGTGGGCTTGGAGATTTGTGGTGTAAATGGATTAAGGGCTGCTTACAGTCTAGCCATTACTTAGTCATTGTTAATGGGACGGTGTATGATTGAGGGCTTTCATGTGCTTAGACAAGGTGACCCCATCTCTCCCTTATCCCTTTCTATTCACTTTGGTTGCTGAAGTACTAAGTAAATTGATCTCAAGAGCAAATTGCTTGCATCTGTTTTGGTCAGTAGGGAGAGACAATATTTTGATCACTCACAATTTGCAGCTGACATTCTAATTTTTTTGTGATGGAGACTGTAGTGAGGGGGTGGAAAACTTGAAGTTGGTGGTGGAACTATTTGAGAGACTGTCCAATTTGAGGATTAATTGGTCGAAGAGCTTAGTGGTTGGTACCAACACTGAAGAGGATGTTTTAAGGATATGGCAGATTCCCTAGGCTGTGAGAAAGGAGAATGGCTTATGAAATACTTAGGCATACCCCTAGGAGATAACCCCAGATCAGCTAGTTTTTTGTCTCCAATGGTGGAAAGGGTTGAGAAGAGTTTAGTTGGGTGGAAAATGAACAAAATTTCAATGGGGGGAGATTAACTCTTATTAAGTCTACCCTAGAAAATCTTCCAATGTACCACATGTCAGTGTTTAGGATGCCACGAGATAGTGAGGAAAATTGAAAAAAAAAAAAAATCATGAGGGATTTTCTTTGGGAGTCAAGGGGAAAAAATGATCATTTGGTTAGATGGAAAAAAGCAGTGATCTTAGGAAATGGCTTTGCTAGATGGGTTGGTTATTAAGTTGAAGAATCAGGCTGTTCTCAGCAAATGGCTATGAAGGCTTCCCAAGGAAAATCAGAAGTTATGGCACAAGGTTGTTGCAAGTATTCATGGCATGTCAAGAAATGGATGGGATGTTGGATGTCTTCGTAGAGCTACCTGCGCTGCCCCCTAGAAGGCTATTCATGAAATTCTTCCTACCTTTTACACCATATCAGATATGATTTGGCTTTTAGTCAAAAAATCAGATTTGGGAGGATATGTGGACTGGGGATACCCCTTTGAGTTATAGATTCCCTTCCATCACCCAAAGGACTGAACTGGAATTTTGTCTTTAATAGGAACCTTAGAGAATCTGAACTTCCTATTGTGATTGAGTTGTTAGGCTTGTTGGATTCAGTTTTCTTGAGCGAAGGTGGCTCGGAATCTAGAGTATGGGGTCCAAATTCTGATGGGTTATTTTCTTATAAGTCCTTCTTACATTCTTTGGTAGCCACCTCCTCTTCTTCCCCTTCTTTCCCAATTAAGCATAGTTGTTAAGGTGGGTGCCTAGGCGACAAGGCACCCTTTGAGGGTCGCCTCGCCTAATCGCCAAGCAGTTTTGTACTATGTATTGTAAAATACTTTTTTATTCTTTATTTTTTGACATTATAATTATAAAATAGGCACTATTAAACTAAAATATTCATTTTGTGTGTTTATATACTAATTTATTTTTATTATTTTCTTATTTGTTAGGGTTTAATCAATACAAACATTGCTAAATGCTGTATTGAATCCTCAAAGACTTTAAAACCTGAACAAATAAGTATGGAAGAACTTAAAATTTTATCTAATCAACACATTTTCTATACTACTTTTACTTTTCTTCTTTTCCTATAACAAAAACAAGGGTTCAGCCCCTATATTTTTTTATTTTTCTTTTTCTTCTCATTAATATGTTGATTTTCTATACTTTAACATCAACTTTATACTTTTCTTATGAAAATTATGAATAATTATTAAGGAAATATGGTTATGGTACCTAGGGAACTACCTTAGGATCTATGTTTTCTACATAAAAAAATTCATCGCCTAGGCGACTAGGCGACAAGGCGACAAGGCGCCCCCCTGTCGCCTAGCATCACCTTGGCACCTTGAAAACTATGCAATTAAGGAAATTTGGTTTTCTCCCATTCCCCCTAAAATCAGTTCTTTCTGTTGGGAAATGTTCCATTGTTGTATTAATACCTATGATCTTCTCCAAAGAAAAAGACCAAATTGGTGTTTGTCCCCCCAACTGGTGTGTCCTTTGTAAATTGAATGGTGGTGAGACTGCAATTCATCTTCTAATATCCTGCTCTTTTGTTAGCTTTATTTGGGATTAGTTTGCTTCTCTCTTTGGCTGCAGGTCGTCTTCTCCTTACAGGTTGGATGGTTTGTTGGTTTGTTTAGCTCTACTGGCATAGCTGTACAAAAAAAGAGGGGTAGGACTTTGTGGAAGTGCACTAGAGCAGCACTATTTTGGATTGTTTGGGAGGAAAGAAATGCAAGAATATTTGAAGAAAGGGAAATAAGCAAGGAAGCCTTGGTAGAAACAATAACTTTGAGAGTGGCACACTGGGCAAAGAGCATGAAGCTGTTTTCAGACTTCAATATTGAAGATTTTTTTAGAGCTTGGGGTGTTATTGCCGCATCCTCATCTACAAGACAGAGACCTATTAAGACATGGTATCCCCCAATAAATGGCTGGAAGAAACTTATCTTTAATGGGAGCTGTTTGGGTAATCTGGGCCTTTCAGGTGGGGGAGGGGGGGCATTAGGGATGAAGATGGGTACATACATGCTTTATACTCCAGTCCTGTGGAGCAAGGTGATGTGGCAAGGTCAGAGTTTTTGGCTGCAGTATATGGGGTTGAGAAGACAAAAGAACTGGGTATTAGTAGACTGATTATTGAGGAAGACTCAGAAACTGTGGTAAAATGGCTGCACAAGGGGGAGGAGGTGACATGGCATTTGAGGAATGAATTCAAGAGATTTAAATGGCTATCAAAGGACATGTCAATCCGAGTGAGATGGGTGAGGAGAAATGCCAACAATTTGGCAGATAGCTTAGGCAAGCAAGGGGTACATAGAACACAAATGTTTTGGGCTCAAATGTAATCTTGAATTGGGTGAGCTTCTAAAGCTGGTTTTTTCTTTTCACAATTTCTTGTTCTAAACTGATTTTTCTAATTAACAAAATCTTTTCTGTGTTGCTGATCAAAAAAAAAATATATTGTAGGTTGTGGGAAGATTGGCAAATGCTTTAGCTGATTGTTTAGCCAAGCAAGGGGTAAATAAGGAACATTTGGTTTTGACTTAGTTGTAATTTGTTTTAGCTTTTATTAACTACTGCTATTGGAGAGGATGCAGTTTGCACCTCTCCTAGGGATGCTTGTATTGCTTTGAATATTTGAATTAATAAATTCTTCATTGATTAAAAAAAAAAATTCTTTTCTAAAATGCACCAGAAATCAAGCATTATATTTGGGAGAAATACTCAATTCAACTAAGCCTTAATCCTAAAGATTCTAGAGTGGTAACGGGTTGGATGAAGAATGATGAACCAGGCTTATGGCACCAGAGGAGCATAATCAGGGATTTGAAGTCTATGACAAGTGAAACAAAAATTAGTTTTTCTTTCATGCATAGTTCAGAAAACAATTTAGCTGATGCATTATCCAAACAAGGCATCAATAGGGATCAGCTATTCTGGGGAGAATTATTGGAGAATGTAATGTAAATAGATAAAGGGATTGGGTAGGTGGCAGATACCAGCCTAAAAATGTAGAATGCTTAGCATATTTATGCACACTTCATTCTTTGCTGATAATAAAAGATAGTAGTTACTAACAAAAAAACAAAAAAAAAGAAAAAAAAACTTAATACCAACTATTTGGTATTAATAATGATACTTTGCAGTCTTCCCTTAAATTCCCCATTTTATTTCAATTTCTTGGCACACTGACCCTTTTTGAGAGAATAAATGGTACAGAAAGGTAATATATATAGCATTCTTACTGATTAAACATCCACGAAAAATGAGACGATTTATAGCTAAGGTATCATTGTATCAAAATAAGAAAGAAAACAAGTAATGGGTGCAAATCTATCACATGCATACCTTATTTTGTTCAGCTTGGGATCGCTTTCTCCTGGAGCATAAAACCAAGAAAAATAAGTATGAATTGATATTTAATGTCACATCATAAGACACTCCTATTAAGACAAATTTTGATTAACAAACAATTGAACAAGTAGTCAATCAATGTTGTCAAGACAAACATATACCAGGATGTTCTCTCTAGTTTAAAGAGAGCAAAGTCCCTCCATAGTTTTTGACATTCTTCCTCTAATACAAATATTTTCTTGTAGAGAAACTAGAGAAACAAATAAATATCAACCAACAATAGACAAGCATCAAGTCTAGTTACCTACAGAATGGAGTCAAAGGTGGGTTCAAATTTATTAAACCAGAACAGAAAATAACTCCTAAACGTGCTAAAAAGATCACCTTCAAAATCCTTGTATCAACAAGGAAGGAAGAATCCCAGAATCCTTGTATCAACAAGATTGGCTTCACCAAGTTTTAGAACACCATTTTTTTGAGCCTGGTGAAGCTACTATTCATATTATTAGTTTATTACCAAAAAAAGCTAACTTCAATTTAGATCATGGAGGAAAGTGAAATTGAACCCAACGACAATAATCATGAATTAAGTAGGAGAAACAAAGCTACTTAGATATGATCCAGATAAAGTAAGATTGCATAATTGCCAATATATTAGAGTAACATGGAAATAATTGGAGAAAAATTAAAAAAGAACAGAGTTGAGATAGACCTGTAGGGTGAAAAATCTAGATCATCATCTTCAGCAGATTCATAATTGGCATGATCTTGGGCAAGTTTCTTTGAATACCCTTCATCCCAGTATAATCTTTCCCAGTTTTCTCTGAGCTCCTGATATAGTTCCATGTATCTTTTACACCAAGGCTCATGTTCCTAGAACTCCACAATGAAGTATCATTAAGGTAAAAAATTGAAATTAGAAAGAAAAAGACAAAGACATGTAAACATTAGCATTAGTCCCTAAAGTATTCAGGATGGATCAATGGTCCATTGTATCCAAGGCTCATGCTCCTAGAACTCCACAATAAAGTATCATCAAGGTAAAAATTTGAAATTACAAAGAGAAAGACAACAAGACACGTAAACATTAACATTAGACCTTAAAGTATTCAGGATGGATACAATGACAACCATAGTTTTCAAGGCGCCAAGGCGAGGCTGGGAGTCAAGGGGGCGCCTTGTCACCTAGTCGCCTAGGCAATGGATTTTTTTATATAGAAAACATAGATCCTAGGGTAGTTCCTTAGGTACCATAGCCATATTTCCTTAATAATTATTCATAATTTTCATAAGAAAAGTATAGAGTTTATGTTAAAGTATAGAAAATCAACATATTCATGAGAAGAAAAAAAAAGAAGGAAAAGAAAATTCAAAAAATATATGGGCTGAACCCTTATTTTTGTTATAGTAGTAGTAGTAGTAGAAAATGTGTTGATTACAATAAATTTTAAGTTCTTCCTTACTTATTGGTTCAGGTTTTAAAGTCTTTGAGGGTTCAATACAGCATTTAGCAATGTTTGTATTGATTAAATCCTAACAAATAAGAAAATAATAAAAACAAATTNTATATAAACACAAAAAATGAATATTTTAGTTTAATAGTGCCTATTTTATAATTATAGTGCCAAAAAATAAAGAATAAAAAAATATTTTACAATGCATAGTACAAAACTGCTTGGCGATTAGGCGAGGCGAGCCTCAAAAGGCACCTTGTCGCCTAGGCACCCACCTAGGCGTCGCCTTGACAACTATGATGGCAACCGTTACAACATGAATGACTGCAAGAATATCGTAAGAATTTACTTGGAGCAATGCCTTGCATCTTAATCCAGGGAAGCAGGAGAGAAGAGGCCTTTCTAAAAGTGTCTTCCTCAAAATTAGGTGACTAGGAACCATTTAGTGTATTAGACTGCAAATTGAACCCTTGCCAATGAAGGTTCTAGACTGCATGTCATAAATTTTATCCTCAATGAAGACAGACAACTGTCTACTTCATTCTTATAATGTTAATCATCTTAAGCTTAAGTGGCTAATTATTTCTAAGCAACATTTGAATCTCTTAAGTTATCTCAATCAATAATTGACACATTATCATATTTGAGAACCTAATTAGCTCCAGAGATGATATTTTAAACCATCAATTGGAAGGTGTAAAATTACTTTCTCCAATGGCCTTTTTAGCAACTAATTTCAGTCAAAGGTTCTTTCAATCCTTGTAGAAGGACTATCTTGCAATCAGCATTAATTCATAACCGATAAGAACGGAAATCCAATGATTGCATCAACCTAGATTCAATTTTTGTTCATAGCACCAAGTGACTGTAAAAACCCTACTTCAATGGAATTAATCATTACGTGAAAAGTCCGATCATATTCCCTAACTTTCAGATTATCGATCCCAAAATCAAAAACTAGTAACCAACAAGTATACAATCCAATTTCGAGTTCATATCTGAGAAAACAAAGAACCAACATCCAATACTCGATTGATAAGAATCCCTACCAAAATTTAGAGCTAAAAATAGGAAGAAAGAAAGATACGTTCAGTAACGGACCGATTCCTTGAGAACTAGGCGGGTTCTGCGCATGAACTGCTCCCTCATCTGCTTACGGCGTTTATTAGGTAGGTTGTCTCTTGGGATGACAAAGCGCTCTCTTAGTGGAACGTTCTCTCCGATTTCGTGCATCTCGCCGTCCACCACCCACCATTCCGTTTTATCATCCAACTTCTTCATTTTCGCGGTCTGGAACTTGTTCTTCCTCCTTGCACTAGTACTATTGCTACTGGTAGAAAAACATGCAGCCAAGGCGCCGCTTCTCGCCAAATGGAGCTGTTCAGTCTCATATTGAGCGAAGGGCTGCAACCTCTGCAACCGTCTTGCAAGCGACAGCATCAAGTTAGACGAAGTGTTCGATCTCTTCGAGACAACAAATACCTTTTTCTTTACCCCAATGCCTTAAAAGCACTAAGCTTTCGAGTTCGAGGTCATCTCTCTTTCCTCGTTTATAAACCCTAGACAAGACGGAGCTTTCCGATCTCTTTCGAAAAATTCTTTGTAGCGTTCCTATTTTCCGTGCAAAAGATTCGATTTTCCAGTCCTGTTTCTTTTTTGGTTAATGGTTATGAATCAGAAAGGAAGTTTAGGATGATTAGCAGAACAAATTCGTTTTTAGGGCAGACTTTTGAAATAGATTGAATAGGATGTCATTACCGTTAATGACATTGAGTTTGCATATTTAAAGTTCTGGGCTAGCAAGTAGCAGCCTTGAGATAAAGCTGATGATCAGAGCATAAGCACTCCTGGGTTGAGAAAGTTGAAACGACTTCTGAAGGAGTACGCGAGGGAAGCTCGGCGGAGGAAGATGTACAGAAACAGAATACTGAACGTCACAATGAGGTATTGAGGTCGGCCCATGCCGGAGCCCGGAGGTTAAATCCGATCTACCAAACCAATAACCATAGTCCTGTAATGTGGGCCATGCCGGGCCTCCTTAGCGGGCCTTGCTTGGATAGCCCGGTCCTCCTCCCAGATCAGGCCCGGCACGGCCCGTAGCCCTGTTCCCATTAATGCTGGGACTGAGGAACCAGGCAACGACGGGCCGGGGCCGGGCTGGGCCTTTTTTTTATTTTCCAATTTTTCCAAACTAAGAAAAATTAGAAAAAAATAAAAAAACATATAATAACAGAAAATGAACATGAATAGTAGACAATAAATTGGAAAAAAAATTTGAAATTTTTATTTCATTTCAAATTTAATGTGTACAAAAAAAGTAAAAATACATTGAAAAAAAATAATACAATGGAGTTGACATACTAAAATAATAAAATTGAATATAAAAATTAAAGTTGGACTGGATTTTTGAAAATTATTACAAATAATTCTCAAATAAAATCGAAAGTAAAAAATACAAAGTACAAAAGAATATTGGATTCAACACTTTTTCAAGTTTCACCCTCATCATATGCATCTAGTGAATTATCAATTGAGGTGTCATGTCCTCCTTAGTATCGTAGCCTATCTCCTGCATCGCCAATCCTTCAAGCAAATGAACATCTGCATAGATTTGATCATCCAAGTTACTCCTCTTCTTGATCAAAACCCAATTATATGCAAAAAAACAAGATTCCAATGCAATTTTTGACATCGAAGGGGTTAGTATATCACGTTCCATGGTTGAAAGAATTGAATAATTTTTATCCATTTTTCTCTCCACAAGATAAAATATCAATTTTGTTTGCTTCCTTCAGGCTAGGGATGTCAACAGGTCAAGTTCAGTATGTGTTTACCTCAACCCTAACCCAACTATCCAGTGCCCCAACTTGAACCCGAACCAACGGGGAAAGAATGCATAATTTTCGAACCCAACATGACCCTATGAGGTCTAACCCGACCTGTGGCATTTCAACTGTATTTTTTTAGCACATTTTGGAGACCTAAAATCCATAAATTTAAGTTAAAATTTTGTTTTATAGATTCTAAAGTGTCACGAAGAAAACCAAAATCAATATGTAAATAAATCTTAAACATTAAGGCTATAGTTAGAAGTCAAAAGTTACAAGAATTCTTTGTATATATGTTGGGAGCCATACCCAAATCCAATTCGAGTCAAAGAATCAAAACCCCAACTCAACCCTAAATCTGAATAGGTCTGACCCTTACCCAACCCAATAGAGTCAAGTCAAGTTGGGTTTACCATTTAACCCAACCAATGACATCCCTACTTTGAGCTGAGGTGTTTTCAGGAACCACCAGGCTAAAATATCATATTGTATCAGTAGGGTTTGGATACACTTATTTAAAGGTGTTTTCAAGAAACATTTTGTTTTATTCGTTAAATGATATAAAAATGTATAAATGAAATTTTGAAAAAAATACTAAAAAATAAAAAGTACATGGTTTAAAGCACCGATACACAAAGGTGTATAAATACTTTGAACCATGAGAATTATTTTAAGAGATATAATAGAGTTAGTGAACTATTTTTTGTTTTAAAATGTGAATAAAGAGATTATTATTCTAAAATCTAAATTTTGAGTTTGAAAAAATGACAATTGAAAATTTTAACTTTAGATCCGAGAATGTTTGTTTATAATGAACCAAAAGTGGCATTGACCAAAAAGTCATAAATAGTTAAATCATTTATGTAGGACTAATTAATTTACTAATTAGCTATTATTAATTACTAATTACTTATTTATTAGTGAAGTAATAATTAACAACCAGTTATGCTAAAAATTATATATTATTTAATAACTATTTATTAGTTCATTAATAATTATATATTATGTATTTAATGATTAGTTATATATAATTAATATATACTTAATAAATATATATTAATTAGAGAATAAAATGTTAGCTAATAAATAACTAGTAATTATTTCTTGCTTATTTAATATTTTTTACTAATGAATAGTTATTTATTAATTAGTTAATTAACCATTTAACCAAATTTAATAATCATATAATTCTAAGGTCGATTTCTGTTTAGAATGAAAACCAAGCTAGATTTCTCTTCCTAATAAAAGTATTGCATTCAATATCCTAAAGACAATAGATAATTCAAGGTCCTAATAAATAAAAGTAGAACACCTAGATATGGAAGCAAAAAAAAAAAAAAACACCTAGATATATAGAGAATAAATGCCAAATCAATAAACTCAATTTAATCTACGGTTAATCTATCTATACTACTTATAAAAGTGTGAATAGGGCCTTATTTTTTGTAATTTTCATTGGTCATAAATTATCCCTTAATCACTAAATTTCTTAGGGACAAATATTTACTTTGACAAAACACTATAATTAAGATATTTAATATTGTAACTTTTTTGAATTTTCATTGGGCATAAGTTACCCCTTAATCATTGAATTTCTTGGGGAGAAATGTGTACTTTGACAAAACGCCATAATTAGGGCATTTAATATTGTAATTTTCTGAAATTTTCAATAGACATAAATTACCTCTTAATCACTCAATTTCTCAAGGACAAATGTGTATTTTGACAAAACACCATAATTAAGACATTTAATGTTGTAAGTCATTGTTGAACCATAGAAGTCCCTGTCACCTCCTTAACTATGCAATAGCTCTAGTATATATATGATCACTAACACCATGAGGGCTCAGTATGGAGGAGTCCCACAAACCTTTCTAGTTTATGTCAAACCATACACTTGTCACATTGATGAGATGCACATGTTGATTGGCTACCAACCTCCCAAGTTCCAATAGTTTGATGGGAAGGGCAACCCAAAGCAACACTAGCCCATTTCATCGGGACTTGCGACAATGCAGGAACCTATGATGACCAAAAGGTGAAGCAGTTTGTTCACTCCCTTAGGTATACAACGTTTGATAGGTACACCAACCTCCAATTGGGTTCAATTGACAGTTGGGACGAATTTGAAAACTATAAAGAGAGAGAGAGAGAGAGAGAGAGAGAGAGAGAGAGTTCTTCACCTACTTCCACTAATTTGAGAAATACAGTTGGAACTAATTTGAGAAATACAGTTGGAATTAATTCTAGAACTCTCTATAACAATGCAAAGAAAGGATGAGTTTGTTATCAACTACATCATGTAGTGGAGAAACCTCACCCTTCAGTGTAAGAAACAAATCAATCAATCCTCTACTATAGACATGTGCGCCCAAGGAATGGACTGGGGGCTACTCTACAACCTCAAAGGGAACATGCCTACCACTTTCGAATAACTAGCTACTTGAGCTCGTGACTTGGAGATCCATATAGCCAAACAGAAGAATCCTTAACTAAGTGATCCTCTTGAGAAGAATGAAGTTAAGAAGGAAGTCAAGAAGGATCCTAAGACCTCCTCCTCCTCCAAAGCAAAGGAAGTCATGATTACGACCACTACACCAATTAAGATCTCTGGTAAGAAGAAGAAAGATTAAAGTGAAATCTTCTACAAAACAGGGCCAAGAGAAGTCTAGGCCAACTTTGAAGGAACAAGAAGTAGGGGTGTAAACGAATCAAACTCGAACCAGATTAGGCAATATTTGAATTCGAATCCAATATCCAAATTCGATTTGATATCCGATGGATATTGAAAATTAATATTCGAATTTGACTAAATATTCGAATATTCGATTTGATTCGAATTTAACCAATCAATTATTTTAGGTAATTAATAAAGATATAAATAAATATTTTATTTATATAAAGTATATAAATTATTCATATGATTTAATTATTTTATATATAAATTATATTAAATATTTAAATATTCTATATATTATATATAAGAATTAAATAATTGGTCAAATTTGGATATTTATCGAATCGAACTAGGTTATATCCAAATTTGACCGATTAGATATTCGAATTATCCGAATTCGATTCAATTATTTCGAATCTCAAATTTGAAATTGGATTTTCAAATACTGCTGACACCCTTAACTAGAAGAAAAAGAGTATCCTTCTTTGACATTCCAAAAATGCTCAGCCAATTATTCCAAGTAAAGTTGATTAAGCTTTCACCACCCAAATGACCTAAAGAGCAAGGACGTGTGATTGACACCAAGTATTGTTAGTACCATCAAATGATAAATCATCCAACTAAAAAGTCCATAGTCTTAAAGGACAAAATACTTCATCTTGCAAAACAAGGAAAGATTAAGTTAGACGTTAGTGATAATCTCACCGTTACTAATGTCACTATGGTGAATTTTGGGTGTCTTGATCTACTGCCATTGCAACCATCCACAGGTTCTTCCTCCTTTTCTTAAGCTATAAKGAGCATCTCGACTTCAAGGAACTCTACACCTATAAAAGGAAAGTCAATACTACAACACAATCTGTTGGTTTATCTTCAAGTTATGGAGACTAGGGGCAAGGTAGATAGACCCCCAATGATGTCTTTTCCTATAGTTTCCCTCCCATAGGGGGCAATTCCAACCCAATTTATTGTTGATCAAAAGGTGACCATGGTATATGCCTATCTTGACATGTTGAGGTTTGGGAATCCCAACATCCCAACTCTTTATGAGAAGATGATCGATGACTTTGACTACTAGGAAGAGTCGTTCATTTTAGAATATGAGATAGGAAATGGGTGGTCCACCTTCACCAGCAAGAAACCCAGGAAGAAGGAACGTCACCAACCTGAAGGGATCATTTTGAAGGAGGGCAAGACTATCTCCATCTATTCTAGACTTCTAGTGACTCTAAAACATTTCCTCAAGATGAGGTCGGATGGACTATCGTCTCTCGGTGTAGGAACAAGTCTCCTCATTCCATCGTTCCAGCGTCAACCAGACCAAAACGGACTAGTAGGTGGCAAGTACGCAACGCTTCTAAGAAAAATAATGTGGAAAAGAAGAAAGTAATTTGAGTACCACCAACTTTCAAGGAGGAAATGCTTCAACAACCTCATCCAACTCCAATAACCCTTTG